ATAAGAGGAAAGAGATTGGGGATATGTTGTTAGAAGAGAGTATGATTATGTTCTTATCATTCTTAGATATCGTTATGATGTGACTTATTCCTCTCTTGTTGATGGTTGGGCATGTGCAGCTGCTGTTTCTATGGTCAGAATGTTTTAGACAAAGAGATTTTCATGGGCTCCTTATTTTGTAGTTTGGCCAATTGCTTATCTCTACTTTCAACCAATTAAATTTTTGAAACACAATAAAAAATACTTTGATATGTGCAATTTGGGTGAAACATTTTACCTTGGAAGAGAAAGAAACAAGGTTCTGGCTGAATGTAACAGAATATTAGATAGAGAGGATTTCTGATCCTTATAATAACATAATAATAATAATAAAATAAAATATTTATGATTACCCTAACAACTACCAGAGTCTGTACTCTTCTGGGTTTGCAGATCAAAGTTTTTGTATCAAATTATAAAGAATTTAATTTATTTATAATATGTTCAATTACTTGAATGTTATCCAATTGATCATTATATCGATTAACATGTTCACTGGATTGATGAGAGCAGGTTTGACAATAACTAGAAAGAAAAATCCTATAGATAACTATATATTTTTGATGTTCTTTTTTGCAATCCTTACTCTCACAGCAGAAATCATTAATCTGTTTTTGTGCAAATAAACTGTTGAGATGCATCTGGTCTGTGTTGGAACTTGGATCACATTTTCATTGACACTACAATAATCATTGGCATTTATGGCCATACTGCAATTCCTAACATTTTTCCTTCTATAAACCCAATCAAAGGAGTTTCTTGATGAGATGAAGAAATCTCAAAACTAATTCATATTTTTTGCCATACTTGCACCAATCATTTTTAACTTACTCAATCTATTTGTCCATGATTCCCAGTACAGAATATTTTACCCTCCGAACAACAGATTTTAAGTGATAGTCCTATTTGCACCTTTAACCTTCCTGTTGATTATTATATCCATTTTTACAGGGTTGTCAATTAAAATGCTCAGAACGTAATAATTAATAATCAAGTAGATAGGAGTTCCTAAGATTTAACAATACAATTTCGTAAAAATTTCATTAAAACACTCAAAGTAGCATTATTCACCCAATTGATATGCTATACCCCGTTTTTATTGATTGTGATTGCAGCTCAATTCACAAATTAACTCAATTTCTATTATAATATCCTCTTGGCGTTAATCAACACCCAGATATTACAATACAATTATTTATTTGGCCTCAATCCCTACATACAAAAGATCTAGGTTTTAAAGATGTCAAAATTGTTGGGCATTGCTGCGTCTGATATTGAAGAAAGTGAATAATATTCCTATGCCCATACCTAAACCTAGACATTCACAGAAACTCAGTTAACCAACAATGTTAGAATTTCAGCTACTCCATCAAAAGTGGCAGAAATGGCAATCTCTAGAGATTCATGCAACATTAAATCATAAACGCAAAAGCAACCTAAAATATTAGGATCCGAGAAGTAAAAATTAACAACAGTGGAAATGAAACAGAAAGCTAAAACCCATGTATCTAATTGAAATTAATATTATTCCTCTATTAATTCATTAATAATTAATTTAAAAGTTTAATGTCTTTAGTCAACATAACCAACATTGTTATTGATGATAAGCCATAGCCTTTCGATAGTCCAATCAATATTGACATTTTCTTTGATGTCATAGTTGACATTGAGGATGAAATCGAATGGATGTACATCAATATTTTAGTTGTAGGCTTCTCTTCATTGGCTCACCTAAAGATGAGTAACATGATCAGATACTTGATTAGTTCTCAATGGGACCTCTTTAAGCCGGAGCTAAACATTTTACTTTAGAATGCAATCCTCCTGATTGGCAAAAAATTCCCCAAAACGAATTACTGGGTATCACAGCCTTCATCCTCACGTGTTCCTACAGAGAAAAAGAATTCTTTAGAGTTGGTTACTATGTTTACACTACCTATACCTCTCAAGAGAATATAGAGAACGATCCCCCTAAAATTATTATAGAAGATATTTCACGTTAAATCTTCAATAATAAACCCCGTATAACTCGATTTGAAATCGATTGGAAAGGGAATAATTAAAATTAAACTACGTCTGAACAAATTGATAATAAATAATTTATGTTCTAAGAACAACAAGAAAAATAGTCAGCCGATGTGACTGAGGTCGAAGATCCATAACTAATTCAAAATGTATTCGACTCCTGAATATATTTATATATATATATATAACTAAATAAATTAAAATAGTATAATTAATTAATTATTGATCATGTAAATTTAAGAAGATAGCAGACATTTTTTAAGATATCCATGCATCCCTCCTTGAATATATTATTAATTTGACCATCTCATTAAATTCTTCACTTGATCATCTTCAATGAAATTAATTAGATGATCTCAAATAATTCATTTTATAGGGTTCGTAGATTGATAAAAGCATTCGTTCTGATGTAATTAAAGTAGTTATAAGTGGGTAACCATTGTTTAGGATGCTTTGTTTGTATATGTAGATTGAGTTTTTAATTTAAAATTTATAATAAAAATTTAACAGTAAAATTAATTATAATTGTTTATTAATTTAAATGGAGAATTACCCAAACAATAATTATAGACAGAATTTTCATATTAGGTATCTACAGGATCTATCTACGCTAATCCATGATATTATAGAATGGGGTTTATTATTGCAGAAGACATTTTGATGATCAAAGCCAATGTCATAAGAACCTAATTCTAATGAAATAAATCTATTAAAGAAAAAAGATTAGTACTAGATTTAAACTATATATTCAAATGTACTCAGATTACATTACAACGAATTTTGTTTTTAATCTTTATAATGATAAACTTGAATTTCCTCTTAATTCTTCAGTGTTGTATGTTGAATTTTACTTGAGAAATTGAATTTTATTTGTTGCTTAAATTCTAAATAGAATTAGGATTAGGATTAAAAACTTATCTAATAGGATATATGTGTAAATTATAAATATAATACATTGAGGAATGTACAACCAAAAATAAATATAAAAAGTTTTCAAAGATTTCTCACCTTTTGTTCAGTGATTTTGGCTCCTTTAAGGGCGGCTTCGTAATAAGTACTTTCAACTTCAAAGTATATTTATAAACCATCTACTCTTTCATTCTCAAGTAAGTATTGCACCCATTTCTTTTGTCCAAAAAAGATTTAACCTAGTTATCTACCAATACCTGAGTGTTGGAATAGTTCATTAAAATCCTTAAAGCTGTCATGATATCTAGGATTAGTCTTACGTTTGGAGATGAATTTTTAAACAACTGGACATCGAATGGAGTCAACCTCAGTCACAATCCAATTCCTGAAGTGTCGACCAAAGGTGTAGGGAACATTCTTGTATCGGCCTTGTCTTTTCTTTTTAATTGAGGGGCTTTTTGAGTCTATTATATTGGGATCGGTGTCAGCCTCAGCTTAACACCAGTTATTGGTTAGCTAAAATTCAACTTAATCACACTCACTGTGTTAATATAGCTGCTCCTCCTCATTAAAACTATCTCGTCTGAGTAATGGACACATTGCGTTCATTTTAATTATTTAAATTAATATACGTAAAAAATCTTAGTTCATAAATCATTTTATATGGTTCTTAGAAATGTATATAATGATAAGTTTCATTAAAGGGGTACTAGCTATTGCATCGAAATTGAAAAGTAACACAATTCAAGGACCGCACAAGAATGCTTCTACTTCGAATAAATTTAATTTGATGAAAGTGCAATTAATTAAACAGTTATATAAATATTAATAAATTATTATTATATATTTATGTTTGACCAATAATTTGTGGAACATCGTAAGTCAAAGTAGGAGCAAGTAGTAAATACGAAATCTCGACATTTGATTGTGATGAATTAATTAAAGAAGAAAGTAATCATTATTGGATGATTCACTTAGGAAGAAAATTGGAATAATAGATTTTATGTTTAAAATTAAAATAAAAATGAATCCGTGGAAAAATAGAAACCCAAGTATTTCAATAATGCAGCAAAATTAATCGAAGTTCAAGATTATTACAATATCCCTGAGTTTCATAGGTAACATCAATTGACTAATTATTTAGATAGTTGTTTTTGATGTGTCTGCAAACACTACCAAAAAACACTCAAGCAATTCAATTCGAAATAGAAGAAATGCAACAAAAGAAATCTCATATATAAGTATTAGAATACCTAATAAATAAGCTATGCATGCAAGCTGTGGAAGCAAGAGAAAAGTGTTTAGCATTTCTGATTAATCACATCCAATAATTCTAGGATTGTCCTGGAGATGAACAACTATTGCAAAAAAGTGCTGAATTAATAACACATTTAAGGATTCTCTCAATCAATGTAGTAGAACAAATCCTTGGTTGGAGACAATACCTAATGAAATTCTTGGTCAATATCCATTCCCATGAGAGCATCTCGCTTCCATATCTATATCAAAGAGAAAACTATTTGATCAAGGTTTAAATCCTCACATTATCTATTTCTAGATGAGAAAGGACATTTCATACATCACAAACTCAATTCTATCTAACTATTATCAATTTTCAGTTAAACCTGATCCCTTCTTTGTTGCCATTACAAAACCAGCCGAAGATTCAAGTAAGATTGTCCAATTCATATCCAAACCTCTCTTAAAAAGAATAAAAAATTGTGAAGTAATAATATAAGAAGAGACTTCATCAATTGCTAAGGATGATAAATCAATATACAATCAAGCAAACTCCAGAGATCAAATTAAAATGAGTCCAGAAAAACCAATCCAACCAGGACGAATAAGACCTCCTAAAAGATAGGAATAAAGTTAAAATCAAAAAGTAATTTGTGTTTTAAATCCCCTTTTTAGAGAATAATATATAAATAACATGATCAAAATGAAATCATTAGCACTATTCCAAAAGTTGTTATAGCAAGATAGCCAAATAAGTAAGGAAGTGCTACACCTTAGAAATAAAACTCAATTAAAGTGACAACCAATAATGATTCCAATAACAAGTAACATGCATAAGTAAGTCTTCCATTATCTGAACAAAAACATTAAAATTCTCTTCATACAGCTGGACCTATTGCTGATCAATAAAATGGAATTCCAGAAGAGGATGATACATTGAAAGTAAAAAAATGCAAATTGACTGATGAAAAAGTTATAGATCATTTAAATAATATTAATGAGGATTTCAAAAAGTCATGGAGAGGAGAAATTCAACTGATGCAAAATCAATATAATCAATAAGATGATAGCTTCTGTTTAGGAATATATCAAAAATCCTAGTTGATGGCTTTGGGATAGTGTTATCTAGATCAGTCTTTATAAGAAAGAAGAATAGTGTTAAGTCACTTTTCAACGGTAGATCCCCAATAATTTCAGGAGTTGCTTAAAGTTATTATCTAATTTATTTGGGAAATTGATCCCCTTGCCAAGAGATAAGAATGGCATTATATCATTACAATTAGAATGATTCATTCTAAGCTAATAAAGAAATTACAACCAAATTGAAAGAATTGGGATTCAAGTGGAAAGTTGTGTAAAGTGTTAATTCAGAAACAAGATTCACAGTTATGGGTATAGTATAATATTATCAAAGCCATTAGAAGACCTTCTGACATAGATCAACCTAAATAGTTCGATCCCATATTCTTATAACATCTTTACCTTACTTGTGATAGCAATACAATATAAAATACAGATGCATTTACATCTTTGTATTGTCTGACCACTCTGAATACAAAGATAGATCTGGATAATGAGACAATTAGTTCGCACAAGGACAATCTCATAAAGACTGTATAATAATATTGAGATTTAAATAGGAATTTGGATTTAGGGGGATTAAACTGCAAGAACATTCAAGTGATGACTTTAATGCCTACATTAAATAGTACTTTGAGGGTTTTGAATAACTGAACCTATCCAATTCTGAGGTTTCACTTTCATCAGATAAAGTCATTAGCAGCTTTTGCAAAGAGTGTTTTAAATGGGCGAAATGCAGATTGGCATAACATCAAAGACTCATTTATAATGGATTTCCATCTGTGTCTAACGCTGAGACTGCGAAGGTTTTCATGTCTGATTCTGGAAACCTTAAAGTTTACTTGATATCCTCTGATTAAAGTAGTACAAGCATTTTTGTATTTGAATGTGAGTTATCAATTTTATTGTAGATAATGAGGAGATCACTATGTAGAAAGTACAATCAATTTTAAACCAATGTGGAGTACAAGTACCAATAGATTAGAATCTTTATGTCCCCCAATTCATAGTGAATAGTAAGGTTAGGTTTTCAGACAATGTAATTGGATTAGGGAGATTTAGTACTTAGTACAGACCTAAGATGGTTGATGTCTAAAATGCGGAAGGTTATATTATCAAACCTCCATTTGTATTTGGTATCATCTATCATATGACAATTAGGGATATTGAACGAGGACTTCAATGAGATCACGGGAATGCCCAATTTGTTTTTTAAAGTTTAGGATACTCACTGTATCTAACTATGATCAATAATTTTTATATGTTATGATATTTATAACCACTCTATCTTCATAAATTGATTTGTAATAGTATAAGTAGGAATAATAGAATTAGGATATAAATTAAAGAATCATTCAAGAATTAAAAGATATTAATTATTTTAATATAAAATGGATTATGGGTATTACTGCTCAATATTGGATCATACTAATGAGCCAATAATTGGATTTTGCTTCTATTAGGAATGTGATAAACCAAAATAAATCTGTTTTAATTGTTTCAGCCAATTACATTAAAGACATCAAAATGATTGTCTGAGGTTCGACAAAATTGCACTAATGATATCAGACAGTGTTAAAATCTTAGATAATTTGGAAAAACAAGAATAGAATAAAATGGAAAATATGATCAATTTGTTCAAAAAAAATCTGAAGTTTATATCTAGTGAGAAGGCAAAGCTGGCTTAATTATTATAATAATTAAATAATTAAGACTGCTCTTAAGTTCATAATCAATTTAGAATAATTAAAGCAATGGAGAAATGTTACCTTGAATAAATATGTCAAAAACAATAAATATTGGTATAAATTTCATTTTAATTCTTTAGGATTGCAATTAGAGGAAATAAAAAAGTTCGAGAGGTCTTTGGATTAGTTCTTTTAACCATATTTGAAAGCTGATACTATTTTTATTTCAACATCTGAACCACAAGCTCAAATTGGATCTATAGAGAGATAAAATAGCAATAGAAGTTAAGAATCACCAACTTAACCTTAGGGATTGAAGTCTGAATCACTAGCAGTGGAGTGCTTAACATCAGGTTAAATCGCCATAATATTTTAGCTGTTGATTTATATAAGGAGGACAACTATTAGGATGCTTTAAATTTTAGCAACTAAGCTATAAAAATAAATTCTAACCTTGAATAGGCATATTTGATAAAGGGTAATAAAGTCTATTAAAAATAAATAAGGTCTTTGTTTAGTTCATTTAGAGTAGTTTGAGGAAGCCGTGGATTCCCTTAATGACTGTTTAAGATTGAATTTAAAAATAGAAACAGTTTATTATCATAAAGGTAAGAATTGGCAATTTTAAATGATCAGGTTACAGCTTATTTGTCTTGAAACAATTTGACGAAGCAATAGAATGTTTTGATAGAGCCTTGGAGCTTAAAGCGAATCCAGATTTTTATCTAAAGAAAGGTTTCATTAATCCAGATATTTTGTAGCTTAAGCCTTAATGTCATAAGAAAAATATAATCAAGCACTTGAATCTGTTAATCGAGCTCTCGACATAAAAACTAAGAAAGAATATTTGCATCTAAAAGGTATATTGGAAATGTAATTCAAGGGGCCATTTTACATAAATTAGGGAATTCTTAAGAAGAATTAAATTGTTATTTAGCAGCACATGGATTAGATCCAAACTCATCCTCCATAAATCATAATATTGGTATTATTCTCACTTATGAAAAGGTGTTGCACTCCACAAATTAGAAAGATATTAAGAGGCATTGCAATATTTTGATGCTGCTCTAGCCGTTGAACCTGACTCACCAGATACATTAAATCAAAAAGGTTCTACTATTTTTAATTTTAGGTATCACTTTACTAGCCTCATAAAGTTATTAAAAAGCATTGGAGTGTTTTGACTCTGCTTTAGCATATAAAGAGAAACCAGAGTATCTAACAAATAAAGGTAGATATTTCTTTAATTGAGTAGCTAAAACTCTTAATTTCTTAAAGCGATAAAAAGAAGCATTAGATATTTTTGAATATGTTAGTAAGAATTATGGCGAATGATAATTCAAAATATGTTGTAATAATGTAATAATAATTGTTTGTAATAATAATCATTTCATAAATTATAAGAGTTTTCTTTAATTTAACTTCAAGTTAACTAATTATTGCATGTATTCAAGAGTAACAAAGAATATCTAATCCTGTTTTACTAGACAAAATTATAATGCCATAGCATCAAGTAAGTTAAGATCCAGAATAGAGAAGAGTTTCATATTCTACAACAGTCTTCTAGATCTTATTTGATTGTTTTTGAGGCAGAATCCGCATGGAATTTTTATCGTATTTAGGGAGTTTGAGCAATTGTAAATTGGACTCTTTGGATGAGATTGTCGATATTGTTGTATTAAGATTATGAATTTGATAAATCTAGAAATTAGATCTGTTTGACTCCTTTTTGGTTATACAATCTTTGATATTTTCTTCCAATCAAAGCTTAATTAAATGGCTTTTTGGAGTAACAGGATGTCATCTTGAATAGTGAAAGGACTTTTGCATAAACTAGGATCAAGTACATTATTCCATCTGTGCTTGCAATTGGTTTTGTTCTTGTCGAGCCTCAAAGCTATTTCTAGCCAATTTAGCTATTAATTTCGAAATTGGGTCAGCTTGTTGTCCAATTCGTTGGTCCAATTATCTTGCAGAGTGATCCAAAAGGCTTTGACTTCTGAAAGAGATTTGTTTAAGACTTGTGCAATTTCAGGCCAGAATTGATGATTGACTCCCACTTTACAGATGGTTTTAATGAGCCAGTCTCTTTAGAATTTAGTGAATGCATCAGTATCGCTGTCAGTCATGAGCTAATCATCATCATTTTCATGAAATATTTGAACATTATATAGAGTGAGCATTTGTTATAGATTATGACTAAGTTGAGTGAAATTGAGCGATAAAGATTCAAGAAAGTCTTTAAATTAAGTTTGAGACATCATTGATATTTTGACGAGCTTTTGTGGTATTTCCTTTAATAAATAAGGTGACTTTCTCTTAATAAATTATAGATCATTTGGTTGGCCAATATTGTTCATTAAGAATGTTATAAATTTTGTTTTTAATAGATATGCTTTATCAATATTCTCAAATTTATTATTATTATTTTTATTAGATCATCTGCTCTTCATTGTTCAAGAATGAAGGTTAACCCGTACTGGCTAACAATCTTTGCCATTCTCGACTGTCAGCTACAACCCTATTGGAGTACTTTCCAGACAGCAATTCTTCAATTGGAATGTAAGCTAATCTGTTATTAACATGACCAACAGTAAATCCAGAGAAACCAGCCATGGCACCATGAACAGCATTTTGAGCCAATTAAGTGCACATGATCTTATCATGAGGATTAGCTGGGACTGTTCTGATCATATATGTAGGATCGATGTGTTTAAGAGTGATACTCATTGCTTTGTTTTTGCAATACTTAGTAAGTTCATCTTTCACTATGACACCAACATCCTAAGGTTTTTTGTTACCTGATGCATCAGTCTCCAAGACATTAACTTTATAATCCAACATAGCATCTCCTGCTCCTTCAGCAATGACAAGGACCAAAGTGCCCTTCTTCTTGAGTCTCTAGTAACAGTACTCCAAAAGACCTCGTTCTCCATACAATTCAAATCTGAATTCTGGAATCAAACAAACATGTGCATCTCTAGAAGCATTGCAAGCAGACATAGCAATGAAACCAGCATTTCTACCCATTAGTCTGACCAATCCCACTCCATTTTCTGCACAATTAGCTTCAACATATGCTGATCTAATGGCATTAATTGCTTCCTTGTTATGTAATTATAATATTTACTTCAACAGCTGTCTCAAAACCAAAAGATTCATCTATTATAGCAATGTCATTATCTATAGTTTTAGGAATACCCACAATTGATATCTTGAGCTTTCTCTTTCTTAATTCTTTAAACAATTCCAACACTCCTCCATGAGTACCATCTCCTCCTAAACAGAATACTTGATTAATTCCATGATTAACAATAGCCTCTACAATCTTGTTTAAATCAAATCCACCTCTTGATGAACCTAAAATAGTTCCTCCCAAAATTATGAATGTTTTTAACATAGTTTGCATCAAACTTAATCCAATCATAAGTATAAAATCCCTTGTATCCGTACTTGATTCCATAAATATCTTAAACACCATAGTTGTAATGCAAGGACATATATAATTCTCTGATTACCACATTCAATCCTGGACATAATCCTCCACATGTCACTATTGCAGCCTACACATTAGACTATTTATACTTTGACTGTCTTTGGATCAAAGAACAATGATTTGCGTGGTCCTGCTCTCAACCATTTCTTTGTCTATTCTATCCTTTTACCAGGACCAAATACAGCTGTATTAATTACATAGGATCCACAATAAACAAAGGCGTCATCTGGTAAGAATCCTTCTCCTCCAAAGACTGATCTCAGATTGCCTTCTCCCAATAATGGGGATTTAATATTTGGAAATTCATCATCCAATCCAAGTGAGAGATGATTGACTCTCTCGATATCACAAGTTGCACTGTTTAAGAATTTGATTTCATCAAGCAATGGATTCTCAGAGTTTAAGAGTGCTTCTGGAACTGGAGCCTGTTTGGAGTTGACTATATTAATATCCAATATTACTAAATGATCCTCTTTCTAAGTGTTAGACTTCTCAAAGGCTTAGGCTCTTCAGCTACATCCTTCTTGTTCAATCGATTTATCAGAAAATCGGTGATCAATCCAGATGCCAATGTAATTCCAGCATAAAAGAGAGTGGAATCTAAATGTATAATTATCTTATTTACTTGATTCACTCATTTAGATAAATTTAATTAAATAAATAATAAATCATAATAATATATTTATGACACTAATATCCTTCTCTTCGTTTTCCTAGTGGTAGGGATATCAAATTAGATAGTATCTTTATTCATTTTCCATATTTCCATTTTTATTTACTTAACAACCACAAAATCAGGATGTCATTCAGAAATCATCTGTTTCTGGGGATTCGTCTAGTCAGATGAGTTAAATAAAATAGTTGTTTAATTTTAGTAATTTTATTAAAATGTAAAAATAAAGACTCAAGCAATTGTAATTGGATTAGCCTGGCCCCAAAAAGCAAAGCTCAGCCTATCGTAAGTTTTATGACGAACAACTCGTTCTCCTTCAATAACAATACCCCAAAAGAACCACAGAAGAACTTATTAAATTGATCAACCTGAAATGGAAAGTCAAGGAGAAAATGAATAAACAAAAGTACTTCTAAAAAAATGGTTATGTGAACATCAACGATACTGAAAGAGTACCTGTACCCTAGCCTCCTCCTCCAGTGATGATAATGTTTAATATTTTATAATGACTCCAAGCTTCCAAAAACATATGAGAAAACAACTTGAGATGACCCATCCAGAGTACAATGGAACTTAGATAGATCGCACAATTAAATTCGAATGGGGTTCAAATTCGGCCTTGAAAGAGCAAGCAGCAGAGGAATACAAAAAGTTGAGACAAGTTAATTACTATAAAATATGTATAGGAATTTGAAAACCAAAAGAAAGATTTCATTATTAAATATGGTTTCTGGCCATAGCACAAAAAGCATTAAAATGAGTCAGGGAATCAGATCCAACATCCCAGTCAATAGGCAAATCCATTGGCTTGCTTGCTCAACAAAAAAGTCAAATATGAATGAAATCAATCAGAATGAGTTAAAAATAATACAACAAACTACTTACAATCCAAATATCATAAGCACTATTCGCAGTTCTATCTCCTCATAATAGATATTTAGAATTACTTAATTTTAAAATTAAAATCTTTTCTTATCACCCAAAAGAGCGCGAACTTCAACCAATTAAGATAACATCTCATCCATCACATTCTCACAACTATATTATGCTATTTTTACAATTTTGCCATCTTTCGCATTTTCAGACACTCCCCTTCTACTGTCTCATTACCCAATTCCAAACATACTCATTATTTCATAAATGGATCTTTATCTTTAATGAATTTCAACTTATATGACACACCATTCTTCCTTATACAAACCTAAAAACTACTTAAGGGATTAATAGAAATAAAGAAAAATGCAGATTATAAAATCAGCCATTTGATTTCAAATAGTAATTTAAGAGCTAACAAACAAAAATGCTCAACAAAATCAAAAAATATTCATGAAAGTTCTAATTTTTATTCCATAACCATGATGTCTTAATATCTAAGAGAAAAAAAATAATATAATTTTCTAACTCCTCTGGGATTATAATTTTATTCTAAATTTTTTAATCATTAAATATTAAATTTGGTTTGAAGAACTCTCAATAAATTACAAGCCCTTTTTGATTAGGATTTGAAAAATAAACAATTATTTTAGTTGAAATATATTTTCAGATATTGATTACATATTATTTGTTGGTTGATTTTATATAATGCAATTTAAAAATTTATCATTATAAAAAAATATTTATAAGAATTAAATTTATAAAACGAGGACAATGGATGAAGAATTGAATAAAATAGATAAAAATGACTCAATTCTTCTTAATTAATTTTCTTGTTTGATATTGATGATTTGGGACTGCATTTTCATCATTGTATTTGGTTGAACCTTCTGAACTAATGATAATTATAAATAGAATACCTATTTGCTTTTTTGGGAGTACTTCTGGTTTCTTCAATTCCTCATAATCTAGTTTTCTGGAGTTAGTTTTGCATATTTCAACATCCTAATAATTAGAGAAGAGGTAATACTTCAAGTCTATTGATTTTAGAGATTAAATCCCCTTTTTCTTAGAGTAATTCTTTTAGTTATTGAGTCAGAACAACATTGGCGATGTATAGTCTCATATATTCATGTTAATAATTGATTCCCCTTTTTTGTTCAAATGATGCTGCAATGTCGTCATCAATTTATTCTCCTATAGTTGGAGTGTAGAGAAGTCCCTTTCTAACGGAGTCACTAAAAAATAGTTGGAAAATGGATACCAATTATCAAGCATTTGAATTCAAATTTATTATTATTTATGTAATGTAAATTATTTAGTAATGAAATTATATTCATAAAATTAATAAAGATACCGTAACAAAATATTGACAGAGATATGATGCTATGTACATATATAATGAATTTGATTAATTTTAATTGGAATCTCTAACATTTACTAAATTTAATCAGAGTTGATATGTGAATAATTAGGAGATCTCTAACTCAAGTAGAGGGATGAATATCAATAAATAAGAATATATGAATGTGATTACAATTCCTTAGTATCAAGTGATTAGAAATGATTTAATATTAAATAATGAATATATATTCGCGATTCTTGAGTAGATATTACTTTGGGACAGTGAAGATCTTCAAGTTGCCTGATTTGGGGGAAAGTAAAAATTATACTGATTTTAGAGATCAAGGAGGCCACAATAAAAAAATGGCATGTTAAGATAGGAGATCACGTAAACGAAGTACGTCATTTTTTGATAATAGTTCGATCCTATTGCGGATGTTTCAACAGATAAGATGTTCACTCAAATTCCAAGTAATTACACTGGGAAGGTTCATAAGTTGTTCCATTAGGAAGATGAAACTTGTTTGGTGGGTGGAGATTTCTTAGAGATTGAGATAGAATCTGATAATCAATAATCAGCATAATCAGAGACTCATCATCATTTCAGTTAAATAAGAAGATTCAAAGCAATAAGAAATTCATTAAACAATCCAAACAAACAATACAACCTCTGTATTATTAGTTGAATTAATCTTAGAATCACAAATTGGCTACACCTGCAGTACGTCATTTGGCCAAGCAAAAGGGAATCGATTTGAGCAAGGTTTAAGGCAGTGGCAAAGACGGAAGAATATTGAAGACAGATCTTGAAAAGGATAAGCAATCTCCAAAGGAACAACCATCATCATCAACTAAAATTAACAATAAAAGTGAATCTACTTCAACCGTCATCAAAATGTCTGATTTTTAGAAGGGAATGCAAAAGTCAATGACAGAGGCCAATTCCATTCCTCACTTATACTTAAAAGAAGAAGTCGATCTCACAGAATTAGCATAAATGAGAGAATAATTGAAGAAAGAAAAGAATATCACATTCATGACTCTACTCATCAAATCATTTTCATTGGCATTGGCTAAATACCCAATATTGAATTCTACATATGATCCCACTAAGCAATTCGAATACACATAACATTTATCACACAATGTCTCTGTGGCCTTAGACTCTCCAAAAGGTTTAGTGGTTTCCAAATATTAAGAATGTATAGAATCCTATCAATTAGTTAAATTCAAGATGAATTGAATAGGTAACTTCGATTCTTAATTCATAACTAGATTACGAACTTTGGGAGAAAAGGGATAGTTGAGTTTTAACTGCCTCATGTGGAGGCAGCATATGATAACGTTTGAGTAATATCGGTACAATTGGAGGCACCTACACTGGTCCACTCATACTGGCCCCATAGGTTTGCATAGTTGGAATTGGCAGGTTGATAACTGTGCCAAGATATGATGCAAAAATGAACATAGTTCCAAGGAAAATTGTACTTTGAAAACTTTATATATTTAGATGAACCTAAGTTTTGGTTGTGATCACAGAGTGATTGATGGTGCAACTGTAGCTAGATTTAATAATGTTTGGAAAACCTATTTGGAAAATCCAACATCTATGTTTATTCATCTTAAATGATTATTAAATTAAGGGTAGATAAAGAAAATTATAATAATTAATACTAAATAAAAAAGGATTCTTACCTATCAAATTCTTAATTTATTCTACTTCCAAAATTCCGTCTCCCTTTTTGGATGGTCAACCTATTGAAACCTATTCTTCTGCCATTAGGTTATCTAACTATAAGGATAATTTTAGAGATAGTAGTTATCATACATCTTGGAGTAGATATCAAAATATATGGATTGTCACTAAAGATCTCAGTTTCGAATCAGTGTCTAGTCATTTAATAGACACTTCAACTACTTTGAATTAACAGATAAATTGGGAAGAGGAAGTAAAGAAAATATTATCTGACTCTGAAAATTATCAAAATAGAGATTCTAGTAATTATCTTGTGCTTTATGGCTTGAATATTGTTTTAAGATTAACAAGAGTCGGACTATGACGACAGATTGAAATATATCGATCATTTCCTAATTAACTCTCTTAAAATAACATGTAAAATTATTACTACTAATTAAATATGGCATACTAATAAATAAATGACAACCTATTTGAACAATAGATGGGAGAAATCAAGAATTTTAAAATAGGATATTAGAAAAGCATTCATTAGCGATAAAGAGTGCATAAGAATTAATAAGGAGGAAAATATTAAAAAAAGGTGAGGGGTAGTAAAAAAATATCGAAAAAACAACTAAGTAACAATTTCTGTAAAAAGTCTTGTTAATAAGATGAATCCATAAAAATTTAATAAGAAGATGAATCGTAGAATAATTTAATTTCAAATATTTCTAGAATTAGCTTAAATTATTTTGGGGAGAACAGTAATAATGGAATAGAGGAAATCAAAGCAAGACTATTTAGCTTAAACTTAGAGGAATCAAATCAATAATTTTATGCTGTATTAGACTCTAATCACACATTTGGTTTTATTAATTAAAATCAAGTGAAAAATATTGAATAAAATATAATAATTTGAATATGAATTAAACTCATAATGTTAATTTTTAAATTCTCATTTTATAAGAATTATCTTAGAAATTAAAATAATATTTTATGTATGTTAAAAACAAGAATTTTTAATTCTACTTTAAATAATTCGATCGAAACATAAATTGATTTTATAATTATACCAAAATGAATCCTAATATCATCATATAATAAAGCAAATGTGGTTGAATATTACACAAGTTATTGCATCCAATCAGTCACTCAATGAGAGAATGAAAATAATTATTTGCAATCATACAAGCAGGTATCTTTGCAATCAGAAATCGCTTTAGTTTTCATTGCATTCGTGGGCAGTTTACTTAATGAGAAATGCTTGGAATATCAATCATAATATCCAATTTAAAAACAATTTTTACTAATGGAGGTAAGATTATTATAATATTAATCTTATTGGATAATTCCAAACACAATTTAAAATGAAAAGTATAAAAATTAAATTTATATTGGTTTAATTAGCTACATAGTTCAATCATATATATATGTTTTTATTTTAAAACTTTATTTCAAATTAATTTGCATGCATTAATATGAGATAAATTATTTCATGTATTGATTAATGAAGCTTAAAGTTATTCAAAATATTTTAAATATTTCAAATACATACCAAGATTTGTGATATTTAAAAATGTCATAAGAACATAATTGTGATTAATCCTTTTTTAAGCAAGGATGAGATAAGTGAAACTTTGAGAGATTTTGTTCCTGTTATAAAACAAATTGATATTTGATATAAAGTTAATTATTTTGAGTTATTAGAAGTGATTATTAATATATAAATACCCCCTTATTAATGAATTATTTAAATCCACATTTTTTTATAAATTAATGGAAGGCGGAGCTTAACCAACTACAAATGAAGCAAAGGAGGGACATGAATTACATGTTCAGACCTTAGAAAATAAGATTAGGGAACTTCCACTTAAGGATAGACTCAAGGCTATTGCCATCTAACATCATTATCTATAAAAGGAGAAATTAGACAAGGAATGTGAAGAGAAGATCCATGCCCTTTAAAAGCAATATGATATCAAATCTTTACCAATCTATGCAGAATAACAATCCCTCATTAATGGCTAAAGAGCTGTGAGTGCAGAGGAACAAGAACTATTCAAGGAATTCTTTTCTGAAGCTGAATTATAAGAAGCCTAATAAATTGCCTAAAAAGCTGAACCAATTGAAAATTATTGGGGAACTGTCTTAACAAATTGCGATAATTTATCTCATGTCTTTGGAGAGAAGGACAAGGACATCCTTAAATTCTTAACCTCAATTGTTTTGGAAACATCAGCTGATACTGAAGTCTTCACCCTTAGATTCACATTCAAGGACAATGAGCACTTCAAGAACAAAGAATTGACAAAGAAATTCATCATTGAAGAAGGCAAAGACTTCCCAACAAGTACAGTTGGAACTGTGATAGAATGGAATGAAGGCAAGGATGTTACAGTTAAGATTGTAGAGAAGGTAATAATGTGTTAGTATGTTAGAAATAAAAAAACAAAAAGACTGGAGCTTCAAGAACAATCAAAAAGAAGGAAACTCAATTGAGTTTCTTCAATTTCTTCAAGAATTCAGAAGATAAGGATGAGGGAGAAGAAGAAGGAAAAGCAGGAGTATTTATAATTATGAGAATTTATAGAATATTGATGAAGATTATGAAATTGGAAAGACCATTGCAGAAGAAGTCATTCCTTACAGTTTGGAATATTTCTTAGGA